GTCATACTTGGCAAATGTTGGCACCTTGGACTTGGGAGGGATAACAATCCCAGATACCAGCCCTAGTTCTTCAAAATCCAATCCAGGCACCCTCTGCAACTCCATAGCTGCCAGTCTATCTTCAAGGTTCTTATATTTATCATCCGCTGGTGGATACTGTTGTTCGGAGTAGTCTTCGTCTTCTTCCTCCTCTTCCTCTTCAACCTCGGATTCAGAAGGCACAACAGTCCCTTTCCCTTTACCGACCCCTTCGTCAGACGTTGAGGGGAACTCGAGAACTCTCCTAGCCTGATGCTCAAATCTTCTTCCCAAAGTGGCTACTCCAGGTCTCTTTTTCTTTTTCTCTTTATTCTTCTCCAACAAAACTTTGAGGTCCTCTTGACCCTTTGCCAAGGTCATGAGGAGTTGCTGGAACTGTGAATTTTGTGCCTGTAGATCCTTTACCGTTTGCTCCAAATCCATCTTGCTGAAATAAACAGCAGAAAGATAAGGAAACCTGGCGTGAAGACCTGCTTATGCATATGATGAATGGTATGTTATTCATGTAATGCGTTCAAGGGTTCAAAAATTCAAATTTGTTGTAAACAAAAAGAACGCACGTTATATTAAGAAGAAATTGTTAGTACATAAGTGCCCCATGGGCAAAATATTACAAAATTATTAATGTAAAAAGACATTGCGCATCCTCTTTGGTGCGATGTAAGTGTTGAGAGTCTCCTCCTCGTGAAGTCGGCGGGTAAGCTCCAAAACCTTCTTCTCACTGGCATAGAAGCTGGCTTCAAAAGTATCTCGTTCTTCCTTGAGTTGGATCCAACTCTTTTGCATTTCTTCCCATGATGTTGGCATGTCATGATGTAGGATGGTGTATGGAACCTCTCCTTCCATAACAGGCTCTTTGATCAAGGGGAGAATGTGAGGGTATGGCATCATAATATTTTGGGAGCGGGTTCGTACCCACTTGAGGTAAGGCTCAAGGGGGATGGAATTCTTGTGCCCCAGTGTCTTACTATCCACCTTGTTAGGCATCCTCCAAGCTCTGATGAACCTTTGTCTAAGTCCTTGCGCATTGTTGTCGAAGTCAAAAACTAGGTCCAGAATCAGCATGTCATGAGGGTTATCCCTCCGAGCATATCCAAATTGGCTTAAAGCTAGACAGGGGTTGTAGGTGATGCCTCCCCTAATGCCAAGCAGTGGGACATTATGGAATTCCCCACAACGATCAATGATGATGACATTTTCTCTGGACCGAGAACACCAATGTACATCAGAATGTGTGAGGGTCATCAATCGTTGTGACCACCTTAAACCCTGCTCATTCTTCAAAACTGATTGTGGAAGGTGAGAAATAAACCACCTTAATAGGAGAGGAGTACAGCACATGAGAACACCTCTTTTCCTCATTGTTCGTGTGTAAAATGAGTGTAGGATGTCCCCAAGCAATGTAGGTATAGGATTCCTGGATATGAAAATCTTGACAGCGTTTACATCTATAAGATTATCAAGGTTTGGGAACAAGACCAACCCATAGATGAGGAGAGCCACAATCTCTTCAAAGGCTTGTAGATCAAGAGAATTCCAGCAGTCTTGTGCCTTCTCGAACAGAAACTTTGCCAAGAAGCCCTTGACACCACTTCTGGTTTCCCAATGCCCCTTGATGTCAGAGGGTTGCAAGTGTAATGCTTGAGCAACATCTTCAGGCTTTGGTTCTTTTTCCGTACCGTTGTAGGGTAGTTGATTAAGAATAGGAATTCTCAGGAGTTGAGAAAATTCTTCCAAAGTAGGCACCAATTGATAATCAGGGAATGTGAAACAGTGGTGCAGGGGGTCAAAGAACTGGAAGAGCACTTTCACCATGTCTTCTTCAATGTTGGTGTTGACCAAGTTGAGGAGTCTACCATGTCTTTCACTGAAGAGAGAATTCTCGGGAATCCTGGATGTAAGCTCCTTGAGTTGAGGAGGGATTCTCATAAGATTGACTTGAATTATTTTCCTGCGAAGAGATTCCATGACCTACAAAACAAGAACAAAGATGAAGATCCAAACCCTTGAAATGGTTAGTGGATGCATATGATGCTTTATGATGTTTATGATGTATGTACAATCACATGTACAAACAAGTCACACAAAACCCTAGTTTCAGGCTTGCATGAGGTTTCATAGGTAAGTACCCTCTTGAGTTTAGTTGGCTCAAACCTGTCCTATAAATAGTAACCGGGTTCTAAGGAGCTCAATATCATTGCATTGTTTTCTATATTCATTGTTTTGGTTTAGCCACTTAACTAGCGACCAAAATATTCCAAGAAAACAACCCTCAATGAGTGTAGTATCGAGTATCTACCAACTTCGGACTACACCAAAGCCAGTCATCTCACTACCCCTAAAAAAGGCCAAGATGGTCAAGTAAGGTTCTAAGAGTTCATTAGTGCTTCATGACATCACTCAGCGGCCCCGTATTCTCTTTGATTGACTCAAAGGCTACCGGTACTCACAAATATGTCGCACTAATATAGCTATTGCTTCAACCGTGTCGGTATACCCCACACAGTTTCCACAACGTATTGCTATTTACCTATAAATGTTTCCCAAATCCGGGTAAAGGATTTCAAGCCCAGACAGGAGAACCAAAATGTAAAGCAATCAAAGCAAACAATAATCATGCAAAGGGTGATCTAAGCCCTAAGGTTACTCCACTTTTAGAATGTTCCCCAACAGAGTCTCCAGTTCTGTGATACGGTGGGAGAACTGACCTGGGATTTTGCGTTCGTGTTCGCAAATGTTTCGGTTTAGCAAGAGTCGCCATCGACTTTTTATTTTATCCTAAGGAAATGTCAAAAAGCACAGGAAAGACCTTTGAGATATTTTCTTGGGTTCGGGGAGTAGA